CCCTCCTGGGCCTTCTTTCTCCGGAAGTTCCCCTGGGCCTGCAGCAGCAGCAAGCAGAGGAGCAGGATGGGCAGGGTCCGGCTGGCCATGACCGTCCCCTGCGTGGCGAGCGGAGACTGGCAAGAGGAGCTGGAGAGCTGGGCTGGCAGCAGGAAGGAAAGAAGATCAATATACAAAAGTCCTATTTCTTTACACTGTATTTCAGAACAAATACAACCCAAACAGGACAGAACAACACAGGGGAAATGGTCAAATCTAACGAAAGGACATGAGTAAGACCTAGAGAGAGGAGAGCCAGGGCAGATGCTGCCTGGCCTGGGGTGGGCGGGGCTTAGTAGCAGGCCCCGCCCCCACTGTTTCTGCGCAGGGGTGAGGGGGTGAGGGGGTTTACCCTGGCGGGTCCATCTCACTCTGCTTTGCCCGCCTGCACTCCCTCCTCGAAGCCTGGTCAGAGCCAGGACTTGCTCGCCTGCCCTGCCAGCCTCATGAAGCCTGCACGCCTTCTCCAGCTTCTGCTGCTGATTTGCCTGGTGCCACGGCTGGTGCCCGGGGGGCCCAGGCAACATTTTCTAAGTAAGTACTAGGTCTGGGCCCCAGGGAGGCAAGTCACCTGAAGGGCTGGCAGGGCCTAAGGGCTCTCACCTGGGCACACCTGGTGAGAAAAGGACAGTTCGGTGTTCAACAATCCAAGCTTTATTGCAGGCAAGATCTAGGTTCGAATCCTTGCTCTATTGCTAAGTGGGTGATCTTGGGCAAAGAGTCTGGGTCTGGAATTTTACCTCTGTAGTGGAGAAAGTGACCTTGGGGTCACTGGGGCCAGGGCTCTGCAATTATCACCCAGTGGAAATGTTCTGTCTCCTCACCAGTTTATTCTGGCTGTCCCTGCCTCCTGCGAGGATGCTTGGGGCCACTTTTCACACATTGAAACAGAGAGAAAAATGAAATTGTAGAACTCAAGCTGGAATCCACATAATCTCACCGTGGAGAATGGGAAGGGGAGGAAAGAAAGCCTTAACACTTCTTTCACATTTAAAAAACCCAGAGAAGGGCCCTGCCTCCCTGCCTGGTAGTGCAACAGGTTAAAGTGCAGCACTGGGAAGCTGTCTGCAACCCCTACAGCCAGGGAGTGACCCACATGGCGCGGCAGACCTCTCCTGACCCGCCCGCTGCTCCCCTCAGCAGTGTATTTCATCAGTCTACATGTTCTGTTTCCCACTCTGTCTCTGGTGAATCCTCTCACCCCCTATATCTCTGGCCTGTACCCTACTTCTTATATGCATAAATAAATCTTTTTAAAAAATTAATGAGAAGGGAACCATTATATCACGCCTGCTCCTCTGTGCAGACAGCATCTTCAGAACATTGCAAGCTCAGAAGTAACATGCATGGTGGCTCGTGTTGTAAGGAGGCAAGCTTAGGAATCTCAAAGAGGGCATGCAGCTTTGTGAGGCTGATCGATCTCTTTGTAGGTCTAACTTAAGGTAAACCACACTGTTAGTGAGAGACTCTCTAACTTGCTTTGCAATTGTGCTATGAGTTCATGCAAACGAGCCTGCACAACCTTCTCTTCCTTGAGCTAGATCAAGCCCGTTTAAGCAAGACCTGGCACCTGAAAGGATAATGTATGTCCTTATCCCAGTGGGGTATCTATCTTCAATCCAGTATCCTCGTCCTGGTTTTCCCTGCTTGGAACTCTGAGAAGTGGCAACTAAGGAAAATCATATTCTATGTCCCTGTCCCCATGCCAGGGAGATGAAGAGGGCGTCCGGTCTTCAGGTGGCTCCTTGGACTTTTAGTCTGAATGTCACTCCAGACGATTGCTCAGCCCGTCTCTCTCCTGTTGTGTGTTCCAGGGTATATCCTGGACCCTCCGCCCTGCCGATCGTACCCTGAAAACTGTACCTACTTCTGTAATTTGCAGGAAGATTGCCAAGGAGGACTTCAGTGCTGCGCTGCCTTCTGTGGGATCGTTTGCTCATTAAACAAAGCCATAAGCCACCAAGAGTTAGGGGATGCTGGGGCCCAGTCCTGACCTAAAAGCTCCTGCTGGACGCTCAGCTGAAGGGTCCTTACCAGCCATGATGACAGTTCTCTTGTTCTCCCCCAATAAAAATGTCCATAAACATCCTGAGGGAAAGAGCTTCCTTGCACTCCCAAGCTGCAGCGTCCTCTCCCCAACAGCCCATCTGCGAACCTCTGAACATACCGCAGACTCCTCCCTCCACAGGGGCCCTGCCTAGTCCCAGATTTGCCTTTCTCCTGGGGCTGCGCTATACTGAGGGGCTGCAAGTGTGGCCAAGGTCCAAAGCAGACTGGTTCTCCCTGTGGCTGGCCGTCTGCCCAGACACCACTGTTGGTCCACTGGACTCTGGTGACCCTCCAGGAACTAGGGAAGATTCGGTTAAATGCGTTTCTGCCTGAGCATTCCTGGGGTGCTGCACCACCCCCTTCTGTCCACCCCAGGGCAAGTATTGCCATTCAGAATAGCCTCTGGTCATTCACATTGTGTCCCCTCCATTGTTGGGGGGGTCTGCACACTCCCTGGGGCAAGATGTGGCCCAGGGAGAGTTCTGCATCCACGATTCTTGTTTAACAACAGACGCAAAGGGCACATTCCATCTTAAACTCTATCTTTGTTGTAATTTCTGTAGGCTCTCTATCAATTAAGTGCCAAAAAAGTAAACACCTCATTTCTGACCTTTGCAATATCTTCTAAGACAGACCGAGGCATAGCTTTGGCCAGCACCCCAGGTTGGAAAGATGGTGTCACGCCTCACCGTGAAGGATCGCTGACTTAGCAATTATCTCCACCCTCGAGTAACCTCCAGACCTGTGGGGGGCACCGCCACCCCTCTTCTGGTCTGGCTGGCAAGTCTGGAGGCTTGACTCGATAGGAGCCGATGGACTGCCATGGGAACGGGCTGATACCTGAGTCCTTCCGTCAGGAAACACCCAAGACTAGTCACCCTAAGCAATCGCAGATGCCTGCAGTATGAGCTCCGGACCCTCACTCAGCGCAGCAGACCTCTGCTGCCTCCCTGCTGCTTCTCTGAGCAGAGTATCTCAATAAATCCCCTTTTCCGTTCTCCACTGTCTCCAGTCAATTCTTTCACCCCCGTGCCTCTGACCTACTCCCCAATGTCCCCACTAAATGCTACCAAGTTGGAGTTGTACGGTCACCTGGCCCCACGATTTCACATTCCGTCAGTTGCACCCCCTCCCAGGGAACTCTCCGCAGGTGAGTGTACCCCAAGTCCATGTCCACCCTCTCCTCCATGTGCCCTTTAATCTGGCTGACGCCTGGTGGGGGACCCCTTCCCCACTGCTGGAGCATGTTGAGAAACCTCTTCAGGCCCCTACACTGCCAGGAACAGACCAGATGTGCTTCCTGTTGACCTGCAAGCCAGGTCATCAAGGCCGCCCCTTCAAATGCGGTTATCTCTGGTTTGACCCACTGGCCTTCCTCTGTCCAATACTGTGGGTATGGGTCCCAGGAGACAATTGCTATGTGAATTTATATCAATAAAATTCAATGAATGAAGTATAGCAATAGCTTCTTGGACTCACTAGTCACTTTTCAAGCGCTGAATAACCTCGGGTAACTCACAGCTCCTGCACTGAGTAAAGCAGACTTAGGATACATCCTCCATCACAGAATGTTCTATTGAAAACATGGCTTTGGGGGCGATGCAGGTCCTAACAGTGGCATTGGGGACCAGGAGTTTTCAGGCTGCCAGGTCGTGCTGGACATGCCAGGCGTACTCAGCTCTCAAGAGGAGTGGGGGAGGCCCTCCCCTTGGGGGTGGGCTGCCTGGCTCTGGCGTGAGCCTGCTGAATGCATTCCTGAAGTCCACACATCTCCCCCCATCTCCACATCAGGTCTAAGCCTTTTCCCGGGGGACACGGTCACCACGCGTGTGTATCCACTGCCTACTGCTGCAAGGGTAAAGACCTGAGACGTGGGGACCACAGGGCTGGCATGGTCTGTGCACTCCCCAGAAAGCATCCTGGACCTTACATTCACCGTCTTCGCTTATATCAGATAAATATTGGGGGGAAAGGATGTCCTGAATGAACGTTACAAACACAGGTTTTATGGATTTCACCCCTACTTCAGACCAAAGAGCTCCAAGACGCCAAGAACTACAAATCCCATAACCTCATCGCCGAAGGGAAGATTGCTGGGAACTGAGAGTGGAGTCAAGCAGCCAGGTTTGCTGTATAACCAGACGTGAGCCTTGAGGGGGCTGTTGGCTTTTCACGGGGCATCAGCAGGCTGTTGGGACTCCGGCTCAGCGGAACGGGTAGGACGCATGCACATATTTATCTACCTTTGCCTGATTTGCACTCCTTCACTTCCCCTTTTTTGTAAATAAACCCTTTATTAACCATTTTGTATGTGCCTGCAAGCTGAGCGTTACAGTGGGTTCCTTTTAAGTGCATGGGTGAGCACCCATCAGGCAACCCATCTCATCTCGGGGTTGCCCTGAAACATGATGATCGGCATACTTACTCCCCCAGTCTCTGCTTACGGCAGGTGATGGCTTCAATAAATAAGTTGATGGAGGGGAGAATGAAAGGAAAAGGCATTGATTGCTTTGAGCTAAATAGAGCTAGTTAAAAGTCATGCTTATAAATAATAAGGGCTGATTTTTTATACATGATTTCAGAATTTTAATGTCAGGGTTCAATGTGATAGAGGTTTTTTATACATATAATATTGTACATGTAAAGTATTTTACATTTAGTGTTTAGCTCTAGTTATTTGTGAATAAAACCCCATGATATGTATCTTAATTGTTGCAGTCCAGAGTTGAACTTTTTATCCTGTCTGTGCTGTGAGAGGCAACTCTTACAGGGGGGTCTCCATTCAAAGGGGGGGTTCCCACCTAATGAGGGTAGAGCTGTGTGACTGGGGGAAGCACATTTCAGAAGGACTCAAGTGCTACTAGTTGATCTCACACCAGGTGCTACTCCCTAGTTGTGACATTTCTCCTTCCTTATCTATCAAACTGGAGCTACGCTGGTGGTTTTTGTTAAACAAATTAGCTAAATCTTATTACCCCCTCTACAAATTTCTGCCCCTTTTGTTAAGCAAAATGGGCCAAATCTCATTATCGGATCTGCAAACTCCTGCCCCCTCAACTAGAAATAGATTTTAACATTCAAGGCCCAAAAACTGTCCCTTGAAATTTACTAAACTCTTTCTTGAACGTGTACTATCGCTTATGACAAAGCCTCATTTCTAACCCACCTCCTCTGACCCCGGCACGAATTCTTCCCTAAAAGAAGTCAAGACCCTGGGGGCCCCTCAGCACCCCTGGGCCTCATCAATAGTGTCCCACCTCCCTTGGGCCTATTCTCATCATTTAGGGACTGCAGCATCAACAGGCGACAAAATTGTGGTTCTGACTGCAGGGACTGACGACTCTACAAATCCCAGTTGAGGCAGACTCAGGGTACAGGCTGGAGCTAGGGTCCTGCTGGGGTCCCCTCCTGCTCTCACCCTCTCCTCAGCGTCTGGATCAGTGGGCAAAGCTCTAAGAAAGTTCAGGGGGACTTCCTGCTTGACGCTATTGGGAGCAGGGCGGAGAAATCTCTGAGCTGAGACTGTTCTTTCAGTTGAGACCTAATTTCGTTGGCTCCTCCTGCATTTAGTTCCCCATGTCCCTACCTTTCCCCCCAGAGGGCAGGACAAGAAGCTCAGGTGTCCAGCTGTGAGATTAATAAGCCGAGAGGGACCTCGTGACCCCAGAACCTTTCCCACCCCTTCCTCCTTCAAAGTAACATGGAATCCTGGAGAAAATTTCCACTCAGTATGAAGACCTGGCTTCACATCAGTTTATTGCTTTATTCTTTTTGTGCTTTGTTCTTTAGGGTTTGAAGAAATTTCCTTCTTTTAATTTATATTTGATGTATATGTTTATATTTTATGAACGCATAATAAGCATGTTCATGGTAGGTTAAGAGATAAAGGTAAACCACTCTATTTGGTCTGAATTTATGTTGAAGGCTGTAAAATCCTTGAGTAATCTTTTTTCCCTACCATTATCCTTTAAAATCCCTTAGGCCCCTTCTCCCTCCCTTTGGACATCAAAAACCTAACTTTTTTGTTGGTTTTGTTTTTTTAACCCCTCCTCCAGAATCTCACTTTGGTTATTAATATCAACTAATGTTTATAAGTATTCTGCCTTATCGAGTTATCTGCTATGTAAATGTTGAATATTTGTCTTTGTCATACTGACTTGCTTTGTTACACACAATTCCCTTAAAATCCTTCTCTGGCCCTCCCTGGTGACACAGGGGGTTAAAGCACAGCACTGCAAGGGAGCCAAAGCCACTTCAGTGCTAGTTCAATTCCCGCCCCAGAGGTGACCCACATGGCGTGGCAGACCTCTCCTCACCCACCTGCTGCTCCCCTCAGCAGTGTACTTTATTGATCTGCCTGTTCTGCTCCCCACTCTGTCTCTGGTGAGTTCTCTCACCACCCCTGTACCTCAGTTCTGTATACATAAATAAATATATACTTTTAAATCCTTCTATGTTGCTATAAAAGGCAACATCTCATCTTTCCTTATGAACTGAATAGTAAGTATTGCATTTTACGGATCCACATCTCCTTGATCCAATCCTCGATCAGTGGACACTTGGGTCATTTCCCTCCTAGCTGTTAGAAATCATGCTGCATTAAACACGACAGAGCATCTGCTTTTTGAGCTGATGGTTTCAAGTTCTTCAGATAAATGCCCAAGAGTGGAATTACTGAGTCACAGGGTATTTCCATTTTTAGCTTTTTAAGGAAAAATCAGATCACTTACTAAAATAACTATATTAGTTAACATTCCCACCAACAGCATTCTTTCTTAGCATAATCTCTAGCACTTGTTGTTGGGTGGGGGAGGTCTTTAAATTCTTTTATCTTTTATTGCTTTATTCATTTATTGCTTGATAGTCAACATTGTTGATAGTTCACCAAAATGCCTAGTATGAAAAGTAACAAATTTAGCCTATGAAGTCAGAACGAGGGAGAAA